ACGTATTCATAAATCTTTATTAATTACTAACGTAAAACGGTATCAACGGAGTAACGATAACGACGGATAACGGAGCGGAGGGAATAGTTTATAAAACCAATAATGCATCTGACCTTTACTGGAACGGGTTCTCCTCTCCTGGCACAACACACACACCACTATACACAAAGCGGGTCCAGCGCCTGGCGCGTGGACCCACTGACCTCCTCAGAGGATGATACAATTCTTAATGCCCTTTTTCAACCCCAGACTGGACCTTATATTGGCATCCCTATTGGGCGTGGTGGGGGAGCGTCATTGCACTGGTGGTTATGCAACCCGTTTGACGACAATACCGATTGTCGTTACAATATATATATATATATATATTTAGGGTACAGCGGGGGTTAAAGGTCCGCGGGTACAAAGGTCCATCACCGATATCTCAGAAACAAGTAAAGTTAAAAGTTTTCTAACAACAATATTTTAAAGTAGAATGAAAAATATGTATAACCATGACCTTGGTTCATACGACGGTGATATTGGGAGAAACACGGCAAGATTTGAAAATCAATAACCAAGGTATTTTCTTTCGTTGTTAGTTTTTCTGGTCGTGAGCACTGTTGCGTAGCTTACTTATTGTAGACCCTTACATCATTTTTTAGTATACATTATTTAATTGTTTTATACGATGTATACTTGATTTTAAGTTAGATTCAATAGTTTTTTTATATAACCTTTAGAAAAGCTTACACCTGGGTGGAGTAAAAAAGACCAACTGAACCTTTACCTTGGCAAAGTAGTAAAAAATAAAAAATAGCAAATAAAAAAGTGAAAATTAAAAAAAAAATCAAGAGAAATTAAATAGATATTCCAACTCTGCTGATAAATGTTTCTGACGAAGTACCATATCAAGGTTTTATACGGTGTTATCTTCGTATAAAATGTACCCGTATTTCGCCTCAGTCAAATAATTAAGCTATTATTTCGTAAAATTTCTTTAAAATTAAAAATAAAACAATAAACGATCAAGTTACAAATTTTTGAAAAATAGCAAAAAAAGCATCTATACAGTGATGAATTAGCTGGGACTTTTTAATTTTTACACCTTTGCCAGCGTAGAGGTTCAGTTCTGACTTAAAAACAACATTACATCTTATAAAACAATTAAATAACGTATACTTAAAAATAATATTATATTCTCGTAAACTAAACAACAGTGCTCACAACCCAAAAACTAACAATAAAATTAAATACTTTTGTTACATATTTTCAAATATTGCCGTTTTCCTCCTGATAGCGACGTCGTAAAAATCAAGGCGACGGCTCGTTATACATCATTTGCCATCCATTTTCAAATATTGTTGTTGAAAAACTTCTAACTTTACTTGTTTTTTTAGATATCAGTGCTGGACTTTTTTACCCGCGTACCTTCAAGCCGTGAAACAGGGTATATATATATATTTTTATTATATATATATATATATATATATATATTTATATATATAAATATATATATATATATATATATATATATATATATATTCAGAACTCAACACGGGGTGACAAACTTCATCATAACCATGATGAAAAAATTAGAAAAAAATATCTTATGTATTTTGAAAATTATGAGCTTTTATATCAAACCAAAAGCTGTAACCATTTTTCTCGATCGCTCACAACTCTCTATGTATCTTCCTATTTTTGTTCTCTCACAGTTATATATATATATATATATATATATATATATATATATAATATAAATATATAAATAATAATACCAAACATTGCATTTTAATCAATTCGTTCTAATTACATAAATTAACTAGCATTTTAGGAAAGTTGTTTCAAAACTTAAGAACGTTTAAAGATTTTTTTATTTTCATTTATGTGTGTATATATATATATATGTATACATGTGTATATATATGTTTACATTTAGTAAAGCTAGGGCAACATGTAAGGGGGTAACTAGTAACGCGTTTTTCAATAATATCTTAAAAGATTTTTTTTTCATCTTGATTGGACATGTAAACCATCCTGTATAATATCGTCATAGCTACTCTCCCGCAGGATGACGCAGTGAACAGAACTGTGCAGGTTTGTCATTTTAGTCAGGTAATGTAAAATTGTACTATCATAAAATTTCGGTTTGTATTATTATTATCTACTAACTTTTAGAATGTGTAACAATTTTTGTTATTGCTAAATTATTTAAATAGTTATCTTGATTAATGTAAAAATATCACAACTGAGGCTAGTTGAAATAAAACCGTTGGATCAGTTGTACCTTATAACAATTATATACAAATTCAAGTAAATTGTTTTCACTAAATTGGGTGAAATTTATAGATTGTAAGATATGGACAAATGTAAATTGTGTTACAGGAGACACTAGATCTTTTGCTTGTATTATGATAATATTACCAACATGTGTTTTTAATATCAACATAATATAAAATTTACTTTTCTGTCGACAGCCTGCCTGTCCGAAACTATAATAAATAAATTAAATAAAATTGTGTAAAAACTTCATAAAATTATATATTGATGCGTTGCTCCAATATTTATTAAACTAAATGTATAATAATAAGTAAACGTTTCAAATCCATTATACAATTCAATTATCGCAATGCAACTTAATATTCAAAATTTCGATCACTTAATTTTTTTTTAAGAAGTATCGTCCTTTTTTAAATCTGTCAATTTGAACGGCTCTATGAGGTTCAAGATATCAGTCCAGTATGCACAAAAAAAAAATGAGTAATATAAACTTTTCATCGCATTTCAGAGCCCCTTTCCGATGGGGGTATCGATTAGTTAAATGGCGCGATTCCTGAACAACTCGACTAAAAGCCATTAATGTACTTCAATAGACTTACGCAACTTATATGACGGCGTCGTGAAGAATTAATGTATTAAGCGAATTATTATCCGAAATATTCAAGTTCTGAACGACACCACCATATGAATATGATGGCGCCTTCTTGTAACGTAATATTAAATTGAAACTCAAAGGAGTGTGCCATTAAAATTAATTTTTTTTCAGAAATTTATGGTTAAAGCTATTAGTGTCTGAATATCTAAAATAGACAAGTATTTGTCCATTTTCAAATATCACATTGTTTGAGAATTTTATGTATTGTTGAACTGTAATTGCATTTGCACACGCAATTTACCAAATAATTTTCTAAAAAATAATTCCATCATAAGCTAAAAATATAGATCTATACGAAGATTAAGATAGTGAGAAAAATTCTTATACATATTTTGATTATTATTCAATTGCCACACAATATGTATTTCATGTGCATTTATAGCATAGGTGTTTTACAGTTTAACACTTCGATTTTGGCATATTTTTAATTATTTGTGCACATGTTAGAATTGGGTTAATAAGGGTGACTAAAGCAAATGGTCGTAGTTCGAAGTTTTAGTTTTTAGCATATTCCTGATAGTTTTAGCGCAATCTAGGTAGAACATGCTTATAGTTCATTTCAAACGATCATTTATGTAATGCTTGAATTACGAAAACATTATGCCCCTTCCCCGAGCAAATGTTTTCCTAGGCAGATAAAAATTACCTAGTGAAAAGTATATTTTGGATTGTAAAAAGTAGTTTCAGGACAATAGAAATAAAAGTTTAATTTGGAAGATTATTTTATACAGTTTATTAGTTAGCGCAAAGATGCCTTTACTATTCGAACACCTTAATCGGCATTCTAGAAAATAGTGTATATTTGACGTATCAAAATTTTGCGATCACTTCTGCAATAGCATACTATCATCAATGTTGTGGCTTAGAAACTATTGTGATTCTAAAAAACTCAACTAGAACCACCTGCGTGGTGTCAATTGGTTTTTTTTACATTCGTGTCTGACATTTTAACACGCGTATTTTTAATGGTGTCAAATATGATGTTGGAATCGTAATCTAACATTTTTCATTTACTTATTTAATCCTATATATTATGTAATTTGAGATTACTAATTCAACAATGCAGGACAATTATATTACAATAAATAAATACTGACTAGTAATCGTCGATTTCCATCAATATACTCATCACATAGCACTTTGATGAGTATCTGCTAAACGACAATATTTATTTAAAATGCTTTACAATTGATTAATTGAAACACAAAGTATATTTAATTAACACTGAATGATATTGTTATACAATTAGAATTGATGATGTTTCAAAACTTATCAGTAATATCCGCAACGAAATATTTGAATAAAGATAATAGGTATACCACACAATTATCGATTGCCGGTTTTGAGCTATGTGATATAACTGATATATTAATAAAAAAAAATAATTTGTATTTGTGACATATAAAAAACTATATATATATATATATATATATATATATATATATATATATTATATATATATATATATATATATATATATATATATATAGAAAAGAGCAATAATCATCAAAAAATTCTATATGTTTAATTTAATTTAATTTAATTCTATATGTTTTATACAATTATTGGTGAATGCTAAATATGCAAAACGATTTCCAGAAAATATATTTCTAAAATGAATATGCAACATTAAATTTAAACCACAACTTGCGTCTCACTCAAATTTTCATTTTATCGTTTGATATAATACTTTTCAGCATTTATGCTCAATGCGATTTTTTAAATTTCTTGTTTTAAGTGTTATTCTTTAAATAAAATATGATTTTTATGCTTTTAACTACTTTGTAGCGTGAGTTAATGCACTTTAGAAATTGCACATACATATAAAATATAGTTAATGATTATTTTTATTATATGTTACTTATATTTATATTGACTTATTATTAGCTTTTTCATGATTATCAATGCTAAATTCGTTTCTCAGATACCTTCGCAATATGAATGAATTCGTTAAAGTTTAGCGCTATAACTATCCGTTCAACAGGTCACAAATATATTAAAGGTCTAACATTTATACAAAACATTCAGATGTAACGTTTAAGATATTAATGATTTGTCAAGCCTGAGATTACAAGATTAATCTCTAAAATCTATCATAAAGGGTGAACGAGCCCATCATGGAGCAGTTGGTCAACGTATCAGTCAGTGGGGCATTTGAGCTTCTAATATAGGTAATGCGATGAAGCGGGCGGCCGAGGGGCGGCGGCCTTGCCTTTATGTAGCGCGGATTAAACGGCCCCAGAGCCGCTTCATTCGTTGACGAAGGAGGCGGAGGAGCCGCCGGGAAGCGAAAATGTTTCCGCAACTTGAAATGTGCACATGGTATGAAACTGCCGAGTGATTGATAATTCAACGCCCAATATACCACCGGATTTAGTGCAGAGTGTGCATGGCCTAGAAGCAGAGCGAACTGAGAGACCCGTGCGGGTACAGTCGGCAAGAACGTGACAAGGACGTGCGGAGCCCAGCAAGCCGCAAACGCAACCGCCACCGCCACAAGCATGTTTGCCAGGCGTCGTCTGCTGCGCAAGGTTGATGCCTGTGGGCGACGACCTTCTGGGGGCTGCGGTTCCGCATTTCGTTGTGCATGTCTAGACGGACCGCGCTGGGGACCGCGAGTTGCCGGTGGATGATGATTCACGACAGGTGGTCGCATGCAGCGGGCGCGTTCCGCTAACTCGGCCTCGGCGCCGTCCGCCGAATCGCGTCGATATAACGTCTCTCGACCAGGCGGCCCCATTCCAGCTACTATTACGACGTGAGTCGAACGCCGTAGCAGAGGCACCGGTAGAGGCAACTCGCCGTGTGCGGCACGAGCGGTCAAAGATAACGCGCAAAGTTCGGAACGCACTCCCAGATGGGCGCCTACGACGGCCACCGCTGGCACCGCGAATATAATCACTAACAAAAGCATTCGTATGTGATTCGGCGTCGACGTGTCCACACAATGTAAATCTTCCTCGCGCACTTGCCGGCCGAGGAGTTCTGGTGCACAGAGCAACGCAGCAGCCAGCCATGCTCCGACGGCCGAAAACGCACCTGGTATGCCGCTCTGGGAAGATAATCGTGGACGCTTCACAGTCAAGTAACGATCCATTGCAAGACCCATTAACGATAACGTACTTGCCGCTACTGGAAAGATCTGTGAAAATGTCAGTAACACTCAAATACTTTTGATTTATTTTATAACATTTACATACAATTCAGAGCAATGACAATTCCTAATCATAAGCAAAATGCGCCATACATGTGAATATAATTTTGAAGCATGTATACAATTGCGTGCAGAATTGGACACATTTATCATACATTGTATAATGTAACTTCGAACATAAAATTATGCCAAACCACATACTATATAGAGATAAATGACACGAACGATACCTTAAGAAATTACACATAAATTATTGCAGCTTCTACGCAGAAGACAGGCAATGTGATATAGTACAATGAACAGAAGCTACTGTTTTTAATATAAAGCTATCATAAATACAGCACGAGCAAGTACATTCATTTCGTTACAAGGATAATAAGTTGTTATATAATACTTGCAAAACCACAACATTGAAACTATTTTCCAAAGTATCATAAATAAAAATATAAATAATCCGGTATGACAATGTAGTAAAGTCGAAGTATTTTTAGACGAAACTTCATGTGATCACATTATTGACCATATTATTTGCACACAATTGTTTAATGAATAATTATAACAAAAAAGAAAAGACAACGTAGAATAAGTAATAACAATATATGACAAATAATAATCCGTTTTCAAACATTTAAAAACATGTTACATGTTCATAACATTGAAATATGTATTCAATAAATCAATATGTGTTTATACCCTACTAACCAATAATAGTCAATTAATACATCAAACGATATTTTTAAGCTTAAAAAATATTATTTTTAATTTAATTTTTATAAATCAAATATAATTACTATTTGAGCAATTTTCAAATATTGATATCAAACAATTAATAGTGATAGGTAGTGATAGTGAAATTTATAGAAATAAATACATTATAATAATACATAACTATATTATAATAATTATATATTATATAATAATTAATAATTATATTTATTGCACAAATTGTACGCTGTATATTAGCTTATCATATTTTATTTGGGAATGATTGAGGTCATTATATAAAATAGTATACTAAAATATCACAATATCAAGAAAAGATCATACTACTAAATCAAAAAAATCACCGTATCTATTAAAATCATCAGTATCTATTCAAATATTGTCGTGGTAGTAAGCCATACAAGTATTTTGACATTATTGTGATTAATTGTAAGTAATTATTAAATTTAATTTAACATTATGTGCTCAAACTCATCATAATACTTCGCTCGATATTCAATTCAAAGGTTGTAGTGCCATGATGTTCACCTACAATCAATTTTATGCCAAGAAATAACTTTTCATCGACGTGATATCATTTACAAAACGAATTGCTATTATAATATTTCAAGCCATTTAGTTAATTTTACTACCTGTATTTTAAATAATCCAACGTCAGAACATAAAAAGCTACAAATTATTCTCTATATTGAGTAATAAACAATAACTAGTAGTGCATGGCATCGTGTCTTGAGGCAAATTGCTGGAAGTTCCCGTACCAAAAATTAAAATTTTTCTTTTAGAACTGTAAAAAATCGATCTCTGAGATTTTTGAAAAAACTGACCTCTTTGAAAAATTTGATTTTTTTTATACTTGGAAATAATTTGGAAATTTTGAACTTTTTTTCGAAGTAATCGTGATACGTTAGCTGCGTAGAAACAAAATATCAAAGCGCGTGGGCGCCGCGTCGCGGTGTACGGATAAACATTGACACGTAATCCATAGTAAAGTGAACAAAATTTGTTATTATTATTAAAATATCTATAAAAAATGTGATAATCTGATGTACATTTACATAACGATTATTTTTGACCGCCAAATGGCAATTTTTTCACTTATTTCATTGGATCTCCGAAACCGCTAGACCTGCCTTAATTTCTTCATTTTGTCAATACAAATAAAATGCTTATTAAATTATACCAAGCTCCGATCTCTCAAAAAATAAATTATCATTTTTGGCACTTTTTGCCTCATATCTCGGTAACGGGTGGTCTTGCCTTTGCCAAGAACTAATCAGCACGTCTCCTTGTTAATACGAATCGAATGTTTTTTTAATTATTCATATCGGTTGACCCGTATTCCCAAAATCGTCGACTAAAATTTGTATATGAATATACACACACATACATATACACATACATACACACATACATACACAGACACATCCATTATTGCTAAGGTATGCCATAATGTTCAGAAAACTTTGAAACGTTAAGCAATATAAACATTTTCATTTTCGATTTTTTTGAGTTCGCTTCGAGCTACCGTGCAGTGCACTTCGTACCTTATCAGGTTCAGGTATATTTCGTGCGTTATTGTAATCAGTTGATTCATAATACCGAAGTGTTATAAATTAAAACAATCATATGTACCCGCAAGGGTACATTTCAGTGTATTAAAATTAATGTAAACACATTGTTCATACGGATTTTCATAATAAAGTGATTGAAATATTTATTGAACAAATACTAAATAGTGTTTAATACAAAGAGTGTCACATTGTTTAACAACTTAATTGTGGACCCCTTTGGGGTTCGTAATGAATAACTTAATTGTGGAGTCGGCAAATGTAATTGACGACGATTCACATACCAGTTCAGAAATTATTACTGAACGTCTACCTAATCAGTCTGCAAATTCAACTTGTTCATCAACAGACATAATAACTAATACTCCCATACCGTTAACTAGCGTTATGGAAGTTGAAACGGAAACTATCAATTCTAATAAAAATAAATGGCAAATTGTCCCGATTGCCGGCGTTAAAAGAAGACGTATCAATACTCAAACTGAACATTCGATACCATTAGGTCATCGATTTAGTGTCCTTACTAATAAAGAACCAGCACCTGTTACTGAAACCTCTGCTTCAGTTAAAAAACCATTGCCGCCTCCCATTTTTATTTACAGAGTTGACGATTTTAAAGGAATGTTAGACGATCTGAAATCTGTGTTAACAAATAATCATTTTACGATTGAAACTTTGCCAGATAAAGTTACCGAATTTAATGTTCAATCTGTTGAAGATTACCGTAATTTTGGTAAATTTCTTCGAACTCGAGATATCGTATTTCATACATACCAAATCAAATCGGAAAGGGCATATCGTGTTGTACTAAAGTACATCCACTACAAAACTGATATCAACGAATTAAGGCAGGAAATTGAATCCAAGGGTCATAGAGTTAGAAATATCACTAATGTGTTGCATCACAGAAATAAAAACCCACTTGATATGTTTTACGTTGACTTGTAACCCGATAAAAATAATACTGAAATTTTCAAAATAAACAAGATATTGAATCAAATAATTCATTTTCATCCACCGATTAATAATTCAGGAATTTCCCAATGTAGTCGCTGCCAATTATTCGGCCATACAAAATTCTACTGTAATAGACCGTTTATTTGTGTAAAATGCGGTGATGATCATCCCACTTCAATTTGTTCCAAGTCGCGCGAACCTCCAGCAGTCTGTGCAAACTGTTTTCAATCCCATCCAGCTAATTACAAAGGTTGTGTCATTTATCAACAGATAGTTAATTCTAAAAATAGAATTAACAGAAAATTTTCCGTCAATCAAAACAAGCCTACCGCTTCGCAAAGCTACGCAGACAGGTCTCGCTTTGGCAGACTCACCAAATAATTCAGAAAATCAAAATTCAGCTATCTCTCAATTTTTAGTGGAATTTAAAGCAATGTTCAACCAACTAATGCAACAGAATAGTGTGATAATTAACATGCTATCAACACTAATCAATAAAATAAACTAGTATCAATGGCTAGATTTATTAGAATATGTGCTTGACATGCAAATGGCCTACTACAACATAGGAACGAACTAATTATTTTTCTGAAAGAAAACAAAATTGACGTGCTGTTAGTAAGTGAAACCCACTTTACTAATTACTCCAATATGTACATACCCTACTATAACATTTACCACACTTCGCATTCAGATGGTTCTGCTCAGCTATACTTATTAAATACAACTTAACACACTATGAGGTTCCTAAATATAGCAAGGATTTCTCACAAGCTACATCAATCCAAGTCAAACTCGCAACATGTAACATCATACTATCTGCGGTTTATTGCCCTCCACGCCACGCGATTACCAGCTTTCAATTCTATGATTTCTTCTCTTCTTTAGGACCCAGGTTCATAGTGGAAGGTGATTTCAATAGCAAGCACCCTCTCTGGGGCTCAAGATTGACTAATCCCAAGGACAGACAATTATACAGTGTAATTTCCCAATATAACTATGTAACGCTGTCGACGGGTACTCCAACTTACTGGCCCTCAGATCCCAAAAAGAAACCAGATCTACTGGATTTCTTTATTTCTCATGGCATCAATACAAATTACACTGAAATTGAAACTAATTTTGACCTTTCATCCGACCATACTCCTGTAATTGCCAGTATCTGCTCATCTATAATTAATATTTCTCGAGCACCATGCCTACACACTGCGAAAACAAATTGGGATATGTATCGCAAAAAAGTTGAGGACAAAATCAATTTGCAAATGAGATTGAAAACGCAAACTGACGTTAATACAGCTATCGAAAACTTCAACAACATTTTGACTGAAGCTGCTTCATCCTCTACGCCTAAACCTGTGCAATCCAATCGACAATCTACTTCCCTAGAAATCAAAAAGCTTATCGCTCTCGCTGAAAAACGGAGAGCAAGAAGAAAATGGCATAACAGCCATTTACCCTCAGATAAAACCTACTTTAACAATATCAGTAATAAGCTGAAGAATAGATTGAAAGAAATGAGCAATATTAATTTCACCAACTATGTAGCCGGCCTTAACCGCTTCGATAATTCGATTTGGAAACCAGTAAAAAACCGACTCAAACCATGTGTGCGAAACCCGCCAATTCGTTGGGATGCTGACAACGACTCGACTTGGTCACGAAGTGATAAGGATAAAACTGAAGTTTTTGCCAAGTATTTATACTCTATGTTTCAGCCTAATTTACCTTCTGATAATCAAATTCCTGATTGTGACATGGTTTTTCGAACGATTCCTGTTAGAAATAATAAAAAATTCTTCTCTCTGAGAAGGGTTGTCAGGGAAATTCCTAAACTTAAAAACAAAAAATCTCCAGGAATCGACTTAATTTCGTCGAGGATGTTGAAAGAATTGCCTAAAAAAGGTATTATTTGTTTAACACACACACACACATATATATATATATATATATATATATATATATATATATTGCTATATTAAGACTGGAATTTTGGCCTAAATCCTTTAAAACCGCTGTAGTTAAAATGATTCCAAAGACTAGAAAGGATCCATATTTGGTTTTATCTTATAGGCCCTTCTACCTATTACCTCAAAAATTTTCGAAAAACTTTTACTTCAAGATAAATTATCAGAATCAAATAATATTCCAGACCATCAATTTGGCTTCCGCAAGCAACATTCGACAACACAACAGTGTCACAGACTTGTTAATATTATTAATAACTCCTTCGAAGCCAAGGAATACTGTTCAGCCGTGTTTCTGGATGTAAGGCAGGCATTTGACAAAGTGTGGCATGAGGGATTACTTTTAAAAATAAAATATAACCTTCCGTCATCCTACTATGAAATTCTTAAGTCATACCTAACAGACAGAACATTCAAAGTCAGAATTAACTGTGAAACTTCTACTTCTTTTCCGATAAGTGCTGGCGTTCCACAAGGAAGTGTGCTAGATCCGTTTCTTTATTTACTATTTACGAGCGATTTTCCTTCATTGCCAACTACATCAATTGCTACATTTGCTGATGACATTGCAATACTTTCCTCTGATATCAACCCTATGGTTGCATCTATCAAGCTCCAGTTACATCTATATGCTGTCGAGCTGAAAATGTTAAATATCTGGGAATATACTTAGATCGAAAACTAACATGGAAAACCCACATTATGGCTAAAATAAAACAAATCAAACAGAAGATTGCAAACCTGAATTGGCTAATAAGGCGCAAATCAATCCTATCGCTTGACAACAAGCTATTGATATATAAATCTGTAATAAAACCCATCTGGACCTACGGTATAGAGCTTTGGGATTGCGCCAGCATATCCAACATTGTTTTAGTGCAACGGATGCAATCCAAAATCTTAAGGCAGATCACCGACGCACCTTGGTATGTTAGTGATAAAATCATCCATGACGACCTCAATATTCCTTTTATTAAGGATGTAATTAGCAGCAGAAGTTCAATCCATCATTCCAAACTAGAAAACCATCCAAATCATCTTATAGCACCTCTACTTATGACTCCGCCTGCTAGAAGGTTGAAGAGAAAAATTCCTTTGGACTTGACATAACATAGTGAGCTGTTCATTGGAACAGTTTCACGGATTATTTAGTTTATATTATAATTTTACCTTTAGTTTTAATTATGTTATGAGTTGTAATTATTATTATTTTTTGTTTACTTTTTATATTAATTTATTATACATATATTATTTTAATTATATCAGCTCTGTAACTCATAGAGTCATTCTGACTCTGATTGTTATAAATAAAAAAAAAAATCGATTTTTTGCGATCACTATAAATTGCCCTACGGGAAGCGTAGGAAATTTTTGAAATCGGTTCAGCCGTTTTTGAGAAAACGTCGATTTACGGCAAAAAATCTGTTCACATATACACACACGCTTTTTCACACATACTTTTTCCAAATTTGGTATCATTCGATTCAGAATGGTTTGAAACGTCGAGAAAACATAAAATTAGCAAATCGAATGTTTTTGATAAAATCAAACTTCTCCTTCGGGAAGTTAAAAATTAAGCCGATTTTTTTTGGAACTTTTTTTGGCGATATTTATCATGGTTTTATAGAACCTACTGAAATATTACGGTCTTACGACAAATAGTTCAATTTTAAAAATTCTTAAAAGTTTGAAAAAATTATTAGTTTTTTTGAAGTTTGTTAAAATTAAAATTGGACGATTTACTTGATACAACTATAGAGTATTTGGTCTTAATGAACAAACTAAACCATTAAAGTCCTATGGAAACTGGTTCGATTAAAAAATTATTGATTTGTGAAAATTTGCTTTCAGAAAATACTCTGAGATAACGTGTTCGTTTTTAATTATGTATAATAAATCCACTCGAAATACTTTTCACTTATAAATTAATTTATTTTTTATTGATTAGGTCGATTATTTACACATATCAGTATGTTCATCTAACTTCCCTCAAGACAAAATACCAATACCAACTAGTTGTGATTTTTTTCGTTTTCAAAATCTTACGTTACGGAAAGTTGTTTGAACTATTTACTAATTGTTGTTTTTTGTACTTTACATAATGAAGACCCAGTATATTATTATGGTTTCATAGTTTACTTGATTATATTCCAATTCAAGTATTTCTATTCCACACTTACCCTGCAAATGCTATGTAAACCGTTTGATAACATTTTGTAGTTAAACAGATACCAAAGGATATTGAATTTCGGAACTAAATTGCGTTCAAAAGCAGAACAAACTTGTGCAAAGTACCTTTTCGCAGTACCACAGGGCAAATCCTGTGACCGCATTTATGGCATTTGTACTCATACAAAAGCATCGAACAGCCGTTTACTAAATCACAACAAACATATAATTTCTGCTTTGTGTATATCATGAACAAAACTAGTTTTTAAGAATAATGCATTAGCTCTGTTGTAAACAATTAGACCATGTTTTTTATTATGAATAATCAACATGGATCAATTATAACTGAACTGCGCTTTGACTGTTAAAAGTAAGAAGATAAAATAGTGATGCATATCATCTTTCCCTAAGGCAAGTTGCTGGAACTTCCCGTATGATAATTATTTTTTTTGAAGCGATTGTACTGCGTATTGGTTTTAGAAATAAAATGTTTTAACGGTTGAACATTATAAACCTCCAGAAACAGAAACAAAATTTGTACTTATTATTAAAATCTCTATAAAATATATAGTAACTTGATGTGTATGTGCCTAATGATCATCTTTACCCATCAAATTCGATTTTTTTTAAATTATTTTATTGGATCTCCAAAAGCGCTGGACCTGCTGTCTCAAAATTAGATGAATTCTTCATTAAACCAATGCAAGCACTATGTTTTTGCGTGTGTATGTGAGGATACAATTTTTGGTCGACGATTTCGAGAGTATGAATCAACCGATTTCAATTATTCAAAATACATCCGATTCCTATTAACAAGGTGACGTTTGAGTTAGTTTTTGGCAAAGACCGTTCCTGCGGTTTAAAGATACGGGGCAAAAAGCTAAAAAATTACAATTCAGTTTTTGAGAGAACGGAGCGTCCGATTTGGATGATTCTAAAGAGATTTTACTTGTATTGCGGGATTGATGAATTGGTTAAATTTTTGGAAAGGCAGTTCCAGCGGTTTCGGAGATCCAACAAAATAATAAAAAAAAGGAATTTGACGGGTAAAATGTTCGTTAGACATATACACATCAAGTTATCAGTTAATTTATAGAGATTTTATTAATAAGTAATTTGATCTGTATTTTTATGTGATTTGTACCAAAATTTATAATACTTAACAGTTGAAATAATTCATTTCTAAAACAGTCACACAGTACAACTCTTAGAAACATGAAGCAATTTTGGTATATTTTACTGCGGTCTTAGACGACGTTACGGTTCTGAAAATTGAATAAAGTTCCAAGGTTAGATGTGATAACCGAAAAAATAATCAAATTTTACCAAAGCTCTAAGTTTCACATAAAAGCCCATGCTTTCCAAATAGCGTGACCTATTTTTTTCATTTTTTTCAGGATAGTGAAAGTCAATAATATCATCCCGTTTCGGCTTGACGTCAAGGTCTGGGACTCCCAGAATATATAAACATAAATAGAATTATGCACATTTATAGTACGTGAAATTATAAAATGCCATGAGTTAAAAACGCGAAAACAATAAGCAAAGCTCAAAATGTAAAAATTCTTAATGCATTAAATGTGCACATGCAATTTTTCTATACAATTAAACATCACCATCGTTTCTTCTTACCTGCATAAAGTGCGTTGTTCGGCAAGCCAGGGCGGAGAACTGCCAAGGCCTCTTTGCTGCTGCCGTGACCAGAAGAAGAGCTGATAGGGGCACACTGCATCCACAAACGACGAGGTCCGCCAGGCAGACCGCGAATAACATCGGGCTGCGAGCGCGACCTTGTTGGGCGCACAAGGCTGCCAAAAGGCTCGCGTTGGCTGCTACTCCGGTCAGTAGGACGATCGCATAGGCCACCAGCAAAACCACACATGCTGGACCGTCCACGCCGGCAGACCAACCCAAGGACAACTGGAATGATCAACAATATATATATATATATATATATATATATATATATATATATATATACTAGCTAAACCCCCGACTTCGTGCGTGTGGAATTGAATATAAAAGTTAGCTTATTAAAATACTACTTTACGAAAGGACCAAACAACTAAATATACTAATAGAATTGTTTATTACTAAATTTTACGCTGTCGAAATTGCGCAGAGTACCGCTAGATGAAATAAAATAAGACAAGATTAAACTTATTTTTTAATTTTCCGTAGGGTGATTATAGTAATTTCAGTTTTATTTCAAAATTTTATTTATGTACCATAAATGCTTGTTATTATATATTTCATTGGCTCAGTTGTAAAAAGAGGCAAACTAAATAAGTATTTACTACTTGTCATAAAAAAATAATTTTCACTAAATTGTTCGTGAATATTGTAGTAAAGTTTTTTTAAATGATAAAGCATTTTTAAGTTAATCGATGTTTATAATTAAAAAAAGAGAAAAATACCACACTCAGAATAATTAGAACCAAGTACGAAATACTAAATCCAACATCTCTTAATATTAAAATTGCTTTTGATCATAAATCTATTAGATTTTTTTACGATTCGATGTACTTGTGACGACAGTTTAATGGATTTATTCACAAAAAATTAAAAATATAAAATAAAAATTATTCTGAAACTTGCATCCAACAATCAAAAATCCAACTGCTGAAACAGTTTTGATAGTATAAATTTAATAACAAAACAATAATCTGTTTTAATTAGATACCTAAGAACGAGAAACACAATAGTATTCAGAATATATAAATATTAAACTAGGATACTGATCTGCAATCTTAAATCAACTTATGAAAAAAGTTTGTCGATTTTAGTTGAAAAATAGAGAGAAGTTTAAAATATCAAGCATGAAGGTAAGATAATAGGTTTTTTATAAGTCAACTCCGGTTCGATTTTCTACAAATATACGTTTTTGATTTTCTACAAATATAAGACAAGATTAGACTTATTTTTTAATTTCTCGTAGGGTATTTATAGTAATGGGCCAAAAGTCAAAAATGAATATTTTTGCATATCCTTACCTCCAAAAATGAATGTGTGTGTGTGTGTTTTGTATGTCCGCAATTTTTTTGGCCACGTTTTCGGGCGCACGGATCAACCAATTTGAATAATTCAAAAAACATTCGATTTCTATTGATAGGGAGATGTGCTGAGCCGTTACGGAGATACGGAGCAAAATATACAAATCGAGTTTTTGAAAGAACGGAGTATCCGATTTGAATCTAAAAAACATTTAATTTGTAGTGATTGGAAGGAGAGGTTATTAGTTTTTGGCAAAACCAGGTCCCGTCATTTCGAAGATATGTGCAAAAATGGCAGTTTTTGAAAGAACTAAGCATCAGATTTGAATGATTCAAAGAGCTTGTTTTAACAAAATAATTGCTTTTGGAAAAAAACATTTTCTGTTTCAAAATTTTTTTTTCAAAAAATTTTTTTTTTTTTTTTTTTTGTACATCGAAAATAATTCAGATTTTAATTTTAATTCTGACTAAAGTTCTAATATACTTTAAACAAATAATTTCAACTTTGAAATTCAGTTTATACAATTCTTATGAATATTAGACAATGTTACAATATTTATAATAATATTTTTGAAAACATTTAATATTTCTCGAACATTTTGTTACGTTACGGGAAATTCCAGCAATTTGCCTTAAGGCACAATGCCATACATCACTAGAAGTAAAAGTAGTCTAAGGTAGACCCAGTTACATCAGCTACCTGTCGAAAATATTCCGTCAAAATTGATCCAGTCGTTTTGAAGATTACAAACAAATAGATAGACAGAAATTTAAAATAATGGTAATTTGGTATATTGACCCTCATCATATGTAAGTATTAAAAAAACGGCTATTTCTATATTACAAACCGACACTCCAATTTTGTTTTTATTTACAGATATAATATAGGGTAGGACGGGGCACAAGGGTCTAATTTGGCTTTACTAGTATACTGTCTAAAAATTTTAAAGCAAGCGAACTACCTCACAACACAAACACTTATCAAACAAACAACTATCGTACTATGTTCAGTAAAATTCTTATTTAATTCCTAAATATAGAAATGTATTATTTTACCCGTCTTCTAAAATTTGTCATCTGTCCCTTCTTACCGCATGAACGGAGACAACCCAGGGCAATCAGGTCCAATGTGTTATTTTTTATTTTAAAGCGATTTTTCGAAATATTTAGTACAATAATCAACCAATGCAAAATATAAATCTCATGTGCACATTTTTTACTAAGATGACATTGTGCATAATCAGCACGTTGGAATAATTATTAATTTAATATATTTTTGAGCAATTAAATTGCAAACCAAACCAATTATATCACAACAAATAACACAGGTCAAACAAACAACTATCTGTTTTATTTGCTGTTTTTTTTAAATTTATAACCTTTTTCTCCATGATAAGGGTAAATTGGAACATCCAGCAGGCATACAGGTCAAATCCATAAATTTAATTTTAAATGAGTTTTACAAAATAATAGCTAGTTGTTTAAATGGGTGCTCTTAGCAGACATTTTTATTTTTTTATCAGAAAATTTTCATATTGAAGTGGTAAATTTATTTCATTTACTTCGTTTATTTTATAAATTTGTTCATTTTTAATGTAAATTTTGCATTAATTGCCGTTTTTTTCACACCAAATATATTTTGCAATTTGAAAATTTCAACAACTACAGATATATCATTGTGATCATTCATAAATTAGACTGCCCTATGTTGAATCATAATTTAATGATTTGCAATACAAATATGACGCATTTTCGTGTTGATTGCTTTAAGTTCAACAAACTTAAACTTGGACTACACTATGCTATTAAACATTGTCGGTATTTCCTTTGTCTTATGAAAGTTTTGCTTGTCTTGTGAACACTATGCAGATGGTGGATTAAATCAGATAGTGTAATTTATCCTAGAGATTTAACAAACTACTCCCACGACTCTTGTAAACACCTTTTGAACAAAACCAACTGGCTAATTACGTGAACATCTCAAGTTAGTAAAACTATACTACTTATGCAAACATTCAATATTTTACTTGCTTATTTCAATCTAATTTTTAGATTAATATATACATATTTATAACATACTATATTTATTTATGAATCTATAAATTGTTTTACGTTATATACGCAATTCTTACGTATTATTTTAATTACCAATAATTATTTAGATGAATTTACTTTAGCAATAATAAAGCACAATATATAAACAGGCTTATCCGTCAGTTTATACTTTTTTATTATTAGCTTGGGCAAAACAAAATAACTGGAGAAAAAATCTGAGGAAGAACACAATCCGCATTTCAATAAATCTTTAAAATAAATTTTTAAAGATTGAGATATATGCGCAAGCATTTCGGTTTAAAACTTATATAGATTAGAGCGGGCCTTAAAGATCCGCGGGTAAAAAGGTTCACCACCGATGTCTCAAAAACCACTACTTGAAAATTAAGCAGAAATTATGTATAACTCACCATCACAACAATTTATAATAGTAAATAAAAGAGTAAATTGAGTTACAGTAAGCAATTTCATAAGAAATAAATTAAATAAAAAGTTATTCCAACTGTGATGATATTTTTTTGAGAAAATACCAGATAAAGGTTATATACTGCCGGGTTATATGTAGCTATTATTTTGTAAAATCTCTTTAAAATTACATAAATCTCTCTCTGTCCTATTTTACCCCGCGTTTGGGATTAAAAGGATCAGGGAAGAAGTTTTTGGAAAACAGCAAATAAAACACATTTCTACAATGATGAATTAGCTTGTTTATTATGTGTTATTTGTTATGTTATATATTGGGTTGGTTTCACTAATATAATTGCTCCTGGTCTTATGGGATCATTGTGCTCCGCCCTACCCTATATATACCCTATATATATATATATATATATATATATATATATATATATATATATATATATATATATTTATAATATTTTGCAGCCCAATCGTCGAATTAAAAAAGATTAAATAACAAAATTATTTATTACATTAAACGTTTCGACACTTGATGCGTGTCATCATTCGATAAAAAACAAATAAAACAAGTTATAATAAATACAAATTATTAAAAGAGAGAAAATTAAACATACCAAACCGGGAAAAACAACAGAAAAAAATAATTATGATGTAAAATTGATTGAACACTAAATTTGTGTAAAATAATATCACTATTATATTAACAACAAAAAATATATATATATATATATTATATATTTATAATATTTTTGCAGCCCAATCGTCGAATTAAAAAAGATTAAATAACAAAATTATTTATTACATTAAACGTTTCGACACTTGATGCGTGTCATCATTCGATAATCTAAAAAACATATTATATAAATACAAAGTTGATAATAAATACAAATATATAAAAAGAAGAAAATTAAACATACCAAACCGGGAAAAACAACAGAAAAAAATATTATGATGTAAAATTGATTGAACACTAAATTTGTGTAAATAATAATCACTATTATATTAACAACAAAAATTGAAGGAGCACATATTGCCCTCCTATAATTTATGTTATTTATTGCGGTGCATTATGAACACTGATCAAGGTTACAAAGCAAGTGTAGTGATGGATAGTGAGCGCAGTGTGAGAAACGAAAGGAGAAAGAGAAGAACGATTGGACTGCAAAAATATAACAAATATGTATCAACGTCGACAAAACTATCATCATATATATATATATATATATATATAATATATATATATATATATATATATATATATATATATGGGTGGTCCTTAATATGAACGTTTTCAAATTGCCTTGAAAACGATAGAAAACAATTCTCTGAAAGTTTTAGCTCTTAATATTGTCTTTTAGATAGAGCGCAATTCAATCAAAATTACAATCACTGATTTGTCACCAAGTTATGTTTAAAGAAGATATATCTATCGATTAATTATTATATATGTTG